AATTTTTATTTTTATAATTATTTTCATTTGCGTTTCTCTATTTGATAGGTACAAGTGATGGTTTCTTTATCCCTTTTTAGTGCTCGGAATAAAGAATTTTGATTTTCTACAAATACAGAATATAAATTTATTTTTTGTAATAGTGTCTAATAAACTCTTGTTTTACTGCTTTAAGTAGGTATTTTCAATTTGTGCAGTTAATATTTCTTTTAGAAAAGTGATTGAAAATACTATAAATACATTCAAATTGATTGCATTTGAAATTTGAGATATTGTTTGCATTTTAATTTGGGATATTATTTGTTAAATTGGCTTAATATTGTGTTTTTGTTTTTATTGACTTTTCTTCATAATTTTTTTTTCAATTTGATGGTTATAATTTGGACTTATAAAAAATAATTTATTTTCGTGGTTATTAACCGAACCGACCCGAACCAAATTGACTTACGTGGTTATGATGCAGTTATGGTACGACCAAAAATTTGGTGGTGCGGTTATAGTTTTGGCCGAACCAAATCGTTGTCATCCCTACTGTAAGAGTCTTTAAAACTTGGTGCACTATGGTCATCTGACTTGGGAGTCATCGACCGAAAACTTGTTACATGGGTCATTTAGAAAGTTTAAGGGTGAGAATGTTTCAAATAAAAAAAGAAGTTTGAAATTTTTTTTTTTAGAAAATCAGAAAAAACAGGTGTATGAAACAGAGGATGCGCCAAATGCTTTGGTTATGTTCCAAACACTTATTTGGAAAAAAATGACTTTTGATAAAGGATTATTAGCTTAGTTAAGTCTTAGGTATTGAAGCAATCAAATTTTGGAGAATTCTTATTTATTGACATATTGACTAGCAATTAGTGAGATTTGCCTAAACTAGAGAGATGGGGATGGTATAAAATTCAACATTAGTTCACACACTTGAAAAGATTGAAAAGAATAAGTTTGGGGTGTGTGAATATTACGAGTGATGAAAGAATATATTTGACCATTGAGGGCGGGAATTGAAAAAACTTATAAATTCATAATGCGATACTAAATTCTTCACACACGCACGTCGATTTTACATTAGAAAAGTAGATTTTAATTTTTGTATTGTGATTTTGAAACTGTGATTATATCTAATATTATGATTTCAATTCTGATATAAAAAGCCAAGTTAGCTAGCTTAATCTTTATGCATTACTTCATTGACATGCCACCAATTAGGTAATTAGTATTACATGTTTGTGTGTTTGTTATGTTTAGTTTTGTTCGAGGATAAACAAAAAATTAAGTTTAGGGGTGTGGTAAGTGTAGTTTTTATACTTATTCGTGGCGCTAAATCATGATATTATATTATCTTTTGAATTAAATTCTACCTAATTTATGTTAAATTGCATTTTGTAGGTAAAATTTTGTGTTTAATGAAGAATTGAAGAAAAAAAAATGCAAAATAGCGGAAAAATAAAAATTCATAGTACGAGGACTTGGAAGGAAGTATTAAATTAATTGGGCCTTAATTTGAAATGTCAATGAACTTGGACTATTTGGTTGAAAAGAACAAAATAAAGGGCCGTGGGTTATTATATATACAGGCTTAATTGCTATTTAATGGAAACAATAAAACTAACGATGTAAAAAAATTAAACTAATAATAAATGAATAGGAAATGCAAAAGACTTTGTACTACTACATTTTAGTCACTAGAAAAAAATTAAACTAAAAAAACAAAATGGACATGGAGATTATCAATTTAAAAATGCTAATAATTTATCTTGAACTTAATGAAGAAAAAATATTTATTTATTTAGTTTTGTATTGTAATGTTATCTATTATTTTATTCAGTACAAAATGCTCATGATTAAGTGAAAAATTTGATATAATATAATAGTACGAAAACACAAAATTNTACATTTTTTTGTCTTTTCACTAACATTCTTTCTAAAAATTGATTATGAATTAATGCAAAAAGCAAAATTTTGGATATAAGCGATAATAAATGTGATTGAGTTTGCCCAAATATTTTATTACATATCATGTGTTGACTGTAAAAAGGAACTGAATATAAATACAACGAAGATAAAAAAAATAAAAGAAAAAGAAGAGAAAGAGGAGAAGAAGAAGTCAAAGATTACGGCTGGAAGTCAAGAAAAACAGAGGCTAAATTTGTTAAACAGAGGGTTGAAATTACAAACACATTCACGCACAAAGCCGGCTTTTGTGAAATGAATAGTATATATACACACAAAAGCCAAGGGAGAAAAAGACAGAAGAAAATAGAAGAAAGGAAAGCTGAATTCTTGGAAAACAGGAGCATCCAATTGGAAGAAAAGTGGCTGAAATTTATTCACACACGTAAATAAACGGAATTAGACGGCACACAAAAAAAAAAAAGCTTCACGTTTCGTCAATTTTTGGTGATATGTTTTCACTTTTACATATTTAAATTCAATATTATGAGTGTCTAAATACTTTTATTATTATGATTGATGATGTAGTTTAAGATTTTTATTATATGTTTAATTTCAATATTTTTATGCCATTTTAATACTTGTTAATTAGTTATTGTGTGTTTAATACTTTAATTGTTTGCGCAACAATTAATTGATTTAATGCTAATATTGAGATCGAGAGGTGATGTATAATTCTAACTCATGCAATAATTAACATAGACATTATAAGAGATCGAGAGATAATTATAAGATGTGCGACCTTTGTTGAATTCTTATAGATAAATGCGTTCATATGTGCGTGAATTTATAATAATATAAATTCGAGTATATGAATATGATTAGTGTTACTTGAAAGAGATCACTAAATACAATATGTTAATTCGATCGTTGGCACATATGAAAAATGACTGAATAAATTTGAATTAAATGTATGATAAATAATTTAAGTGAAATCGAAAATCCTAACTATTCAATCACATAATATTTTCTACAGTTTCAATTTGAGTTTGTTATTTTATTTATTAGAATTTCGCTTAAAAAATAAAACTTGATTTGATCATTAGTTACAAGTTTAATTTAAATTGAAGTTATATTAGTTTAAAACTTTATATTAGATAGTAGTCTTTGAGGGATGATATTCAGATTTGATAAATCCACTTTATTACTTGTCGTGGTCCGTACACTTGTGAAATTTCACGAACATTATGGCATATTTGATTGAAGTCTTAGTTAGTAATGAATTGACCATTGTTGTAGACGAAAAATCCTGATGTTCAATGATGAAGAATGAGGAATAACCCAAATTATATAGCACTTTCGTACTAGTTTAGAAAAATTTGTGCTACGTTTTTTTTTTTTTTTATGTATGCATTACTTTTATCAAATTTATTGTCAAATTCATTTGTAAGAACGATCCTACACTCAATACATAATTTTCGTTTTCATTTGCATTTTTGTCAAAGTTCGATATATTTATCATTAGTTGGATACTTGGCAATGTAGTTTAGATGCAATTGAAGTTATCTACTAAATCTGGCTATGCTTTTCATTGATTCTCTTGGAAAAAAAAAATGCTTCAAGGGTGATTAAATTATCAATTTCACAAAAGAAGACAATGGCTCATGGAGTACTAAAAATGATAAATATGATATTGAGTGAATTTGAACAGATAGAAGGTGAAATTGCTAAGTTACCATTACAAATTAATGGTATTAAATTGACAAGATCAAAGAACAAGAAGACACCAATGTTCAATCAATGTAGTGTCCCAAACTTCCCTTACTAGCAGCGTCCGGCGTCTGTCCGACTGGTTTGTTTAAATGATGAAAGCAACAAACATCTATAAAATGAAAGCAGTCAATGCCAATATTAAAAACTGAATATCAAACTTGTTATACATTCATCCAAAATAGTAACATAAAAGACCATTGTTTGAAAGGTTTCAGGAGAAAAATAGACCTAACGAGAAAGTTAATTAAAATACTAGTAGAGACACAATGTAACTAGGCACATCCCTTCCAGCTCCAGTAGATCTATTTTAACATCTTCAGCGATGTGCACCATATGTTTGGGTTGCATCGTACTGGGGATACACAGCCTGGGGCGATGCGGCGGGTACACTTCCATACGCACCTGCTGATTGAGGAATGGACTGATCATAGCCAGGCTGTGTTGGAGCTGGCTGACCATAACCCATCTGTCCAGTAGTTGGTGCAGCATAAGCAGATGGAGCATGGGCACTACCATAAGCAGGATCTGCTGGCGCTTGATACCCGTAAGCATTGTTGGCCGCAGGTTGTTCGTTGTAGGCCGGCTGCGACGACTGATAAGGATAACCACCTGTTGGTCCCATTTGGGCATATGCAGGAGGCTGCTGTCCACCAGGCTGACCATACCCAGAAACAGGCTGAGCAGCTTGTTGAGGATAACCAGCAGAAGATGCTGTGGCAGGTGGTGGATGATTGTATCCATCTGCAGAGGGTACCGAACCATATGGAGGATAGTTTTGCTGCATTGGTCCACTAGATGCATATGGGTATGATTGTTGAGGTGGCACATTTTGGCCATATGCTTGAGTTGATGAAACAGGTGCTTGATAAGGCATTTCTCCAGGTTGATTCGGTCTAGGCTGAACGTAAGATTGAGCTTGGGGTCCTTGCTGCGGCATACCATATGTAGGGGCCTTACCATATTGGTCCTGTGGAGCATAGCCAGGATGTGCACCACCTTGAGCATAAACTGCTGGCTGAGAAGCCATTTGTCTATAATGTTGTGAAGAAGCATGGTGATCATATTTTACTTCACTATATCCAAGACCATATTGTTGAGCAGGTGTTTGAGAATAAGGAGTTGGCTGCCCATAATCTGGACCCTGTGACTGCCTGTAGTTGTAATTTGCCTGTGAAGGACATGAGCGCATAGCAGGGGCAGAGACATGAGTAGGGAAGTAAAAAAATGGGGCGGAAACTGGCCCAACAGAAGAATAAGTAAATCACCAACCTGTGGTGAGGGCGCCTGCATTGCCACTGGTGGCCTGTGCTCCCAACTTGGACCGAAGCTGCTTCTTGGTGCTTGTTGTGGAGGATAATTACCATATGATGGAGTTGGGTACTGTGGATTCTGAGAAGGAAATGGTCCTCTTTGTGGATCATGACGTGAGAACTGCGAGTGATGAGGACCGCGAGATCCCCATTGTGATGAAGCAGGTCCACGAGGACGAAAGGCCTGCTGGCTGTATCCACCAGAGTGAGATGATGGCCTTACGGTCTAAGCAAAGAAGTTCAAATGGCAGGCGGATAAATATTAGTTAGCAAATCAACATCCTTAAAAAAAACTGTGAAATGTCAGGTGACTAGTTTCATCTTAAATCAAACAAATTTGAAAAAAAGAAAAGAAAAGAAGTAATGAGTAGGATACACAAAAGAACATCATACTGGCAAGAAACAATCATAAAATTTACACCAAATAAGCAAAAAGAAAAAAACTGCAAGAAACAACTTAAAATATCATTGGATCAATCAAAATATGCCCAATTTAAAGAGAGAACTGAAATTAATAGGAGAAATATGCAACAAGAAACAGCTAGAAAAAGATGGCAAATTATAGAAGCTTTGAATGCGAGTGAGAAAGGCACACAACAAACAGAAGATTAAATATAAACTTTAAAATGGAAAATAATGATGTCCCTATTTATCAGTCATATATGGTAGTAGGGAACTAGCCATTTATGCATCAAGATGATGAGAATCTACCAGATACGTATGCTTTACTACAATAATAAGCAATTTTCAGGTTCTCAGCCCAGAATGCATCACTTAATATATTTTCATCAGTATTACTTCATTCCTGAACCTCTAAGCATGCCTCTACATTATTCTTCACTGATAATATTCATTGTCATTTTCTTCCTGCGACGAATCCTTAAACACCACACAAATTGCAGTGATGTAGTTAATACTCATCAACAGAGTAGATATAATTTATGAGGGGCCCATTCAGACCAAAAGCAAATAACAGCTACGCAAGTCGAAATAACACCAGAGAATACAGCAGCTCTTGAAGGTGAATCCAGATAAAGAGACATAGTAAGCAATTTCATAAAAAGAACTAGATTCTCCCAAGTTTCAAGTGAACATATGCAGAGCATTTGACTGACAGCTAAATAATTGAATAGTTCGTAAAAATAAGCAGATTTAGGATATTGAATCAGCATCCTTTCATTCTAAAAACTGTTGTTAATGTCAAGATGTTGGCTTCCAACTACTAGAAAACACAGCTCAATGCATACGGCAACTTAAAACTATCACGTTCTGTGAATTTCAAGAGGCATTATTATACATGTCCCAAACTACAAGATTATTTGACTAGATATGACACTGGTTTCCAACACATCTATAAAATATAAGATGTGGTATATTATGTAGCACTTGGGCTGATAAAATGCAGCCTTACTAGTATATTCACTTTTAGTTTCTAAGTCTCAAAGCAATCTTACCAACTATTAACATCCTGCAATTGCGAGGGTTAATCCTTGATACCTCTGTTCTGTGGATGGATTGAAAAGTAGTTGTCTATTGATACACCAAGAAGGCCAAGCTGACCCTTGTGAAAGGCAAAAGCCAAATCTGCATTTTTAAAGCCAACCAATTCGAAATTGGCACCTTCAACATAAATAAATCATGGCAACCGACATCTCATTTGAATGTAAGATCTTCCTAACAGCATTCAAGTGATCTTGACATGCGTATTTTAGGCAGCGGTGTTCAAGTAAAAAAGCTCTTAGACCATGGTGTCATCATTAACAGATTCTCCCAACTCATAAAAGTTTCCCACAATTGTTCAGAATATAAAACCTTTACAAGCACATGCATTTAACTATGAAATGATACATTCAAGTGATACAAACAGTTCGACACAGAGAACTAGAGTGCTAAATTGTTGCATATCAATCCAAGGTAACAGTGAACAGAAACCAAGTGGCATGCTAATATCATACTTAACGAAACTTTTTTATTATTATCATTAATATAAAAACACACAAAGATGTTCTACCTCTAAAAACTGACTACTCTTTCAACCCATACAATATACGTGCATATCAGACTCAAATTAGCACCCAAACTTGTATTGGAAACAGATGTTAAAGTTAAAACCATGAAATCCCTTCTAGCAATCATATTATTGCACAACAACATTGTTGGGTTCATATACTGTAACCAAAGTGGAACTCAGGGAAATTCAGGGAGTTTTTTATACAGGAGTTGATAACATGCATTGACATTAAGGTGTGTCAAGGAACCCAAAGCCAGCACATTTACTAAATACATCAATTGAAATCGCCAAGTACAATGAGAAAAGAGGTGTGGACAAGACTAAGACAAGTTGGTTACATGATGTAGAATATGTGGCTTATTCGAAGTCTTCTTAAAAGTATATTGCTGCTATATGATTCACTAAGATATTCAGAAAATTATCGAAGGATGAGAATATGCTCTGGCAAATTATAAAGAAAACATCTCTCCATACACATGCATAATTCAATGCCTGAGGATATACTCTGGAGTGTGGATGCTATCAAACTTCTAAAACCAAAGAGAAGAAACAAAATCTCTGAAGTGCTGTGTAGTTGCCAATTCAAAATAGTGAAATGATATCACAAACCTGATTCATGACTTCTTTTATCATTTCGCTTGCCATCTCAATCTGCTTCTTATTACCAGTCACACGGACAGTCCGGTCCTTGGATTGGTCTCCTTCTGGAAGATGTTGTGGTATCAACTAGAATAAAGGTGATGTGAGGAAATTACTGCAATTGTTGTATAAATGTCTGGCGATGTACTATGTAATATGTAAACAATTTACTACCTGAATGCGTGCTCCTGATCTTGTCTGCAAATTCTTAATTGTTTCTCCACCTTTTCCAATAATCAAACCAACCTTAAAGAAAAGGAATGATTCGAGTCAGTGATGCTCTACCAGGAGATACAGAGGGGAAGGGAGAGAGGGGAGAGGGAAGGGGAAAGGGGGGGAGAGAGAATGGAAACAAACTTTTTCATTGGGGACTTGTATCTCAAGTTGTTCTCCCCCAGCAGCAGCCTGCACAGTGTTGAAGCCCCTAGCAACAAGTGACGGAGAACCTCCAGCATCGGCCTAAAACACAATGCATAAGTTGTAAAAGTTGTAGAGTGAGAATCTTTGAAGTCCAAGCAAATAATTATATTAACAGATGGCAGGAATAACCTAAAATGGATTTAAAAAAAAAAAAAAAAAACCTCAGCAATAACACCCTTTATCAATTTCTCAGCCTTGGTTATATTTTCCAAAGTTCCAATTAGTTCCACAGGTCTAGAGACAGACCGAGGATCTGCATCAGCATCCCTCACAATTTGAATTTTGGCACCTGAATTGTCTTGCAGGGACCTAATTGTGTCCCCAGCCTTGCCAATCAGAACACCAACCTGCAAATGGACAACAAGCATGTGCAAGACATTTCTCAGAGAAGAGCATCAAAAAGTTTTTTGTTATCCCTGGGAAGGAGCAGGCAACTTTTTTCACAGGATGATGTGAAGTAGAAATTTCATTACATCCATGTACTACCATCTAAATTGATGTCTGCTTTCCAGATATTTATTTGCTCATTTTTTACTTTTTTCATATAAATTCATGCATTAACAAAATTATATTTACATGTACATAGACATTCAGAAGTGAATCAGTTAGATCTCATCAACATCTATGCCTCCATCTGGAATTGAAGTATTTTAGTTACTATACGTATTCCACTCTCAGAAACTCAATTATCTTATTTTCTCGTGTGTAATTTTGGGCCTGTTTGCAGAGGCATAGAAAATCCCTCCAAGGAATATTAATAGAACTATACTTTTTTTTCTCCATTATTTTGATGTAGGCAGCAATTCCTATCTATCTAGAATCTACTTCTAGGACTTCTTCTTTTGTCTGAATTTTAGAGGTTTGTATGCAATGGGGAACCCTAGTTAAAAGGGGCTTTGCCATAGTTCATCTAATTAAAATTCGAATTTAATAAAGATATTTGTTTAGTAGCAGGCATATGTGCATTCATGCATGTGACTAATACGCATCCACTGTAATGTCAACTTTTCTGTTTTGTGGTCGACTAGCTATTTTGGGAAACTACATGAAGACGAAATGCAATTAGGAAAAAACATAGATACTGTCATACTGACCAATGAGAGACCTTATACTGATTTCTAGATAACAATCTATTACAATCTTCGGACAAGAAACTGCTTAATAAAAGTTATTTAGCACATTCACCTTATCATTAGGGACCTCCATTTTGAGAGACAGCACTTGGAATTCGGACCCGGGCTTCTGCTCAACGATCGGAGCACCCTCTTCTCTAAGAACTTCCACAGAAGGTTCCTGAACTTCTCCTCTAGATTCTTCTTGTTCCTCCACACTTCTGTTCTCCGGTTTTTCATTCCCATCAGAAGCCACGTGTTCACTAGTGACCGTCTCCAAATCTTCCTTGGACAGTTCCTGACCTTCCCCTGGCTGTACAGTGTTAGCCTCAGCCTCGGGCAGCATAGATTCCTCCTCTGTCTGGGCATTGCTAGTCACAGCCTCGGGCTGCAATGATTCCTCCTCCTTTGGCTCTTCTACCTTGTCATCCTCTTGGCATCCATTCTGAGTAGCTGTCAACAAAAAGAATTCCCAAAAGAAATTATCAACACAGTGATTGAGGATTCTTCCTTTTATGCATTCTTTGCAAATGGAGCAAAATCATTGTCACTCTCAAACAATCATTTCTTTTGCTGTAATAAGAGTTGCTTCCAAAAGATCAACTCCATTTCACTGCCGCGGAAAAAATAAATCTAATAGAAATACGTAAAGATGGTAATTTTCCCCTAGGACTTCAGTTTAACTGCTGCAACTGTTTTTCCATCACAGAATCAATCCCACGAGACGCATTTGGGGCTTGGACAGATTTACACGGGGTCAAAGACATTTTTGAATGTTTGCCTTTTAAGGGGGTTGTTTGAGCCCCATTTTTTTGAAAATTCATTTTTTCAAAACTCATTTTCGATTACATATTCTCCAATAAAATAATACATTATATGTAAATCGAAAACTTTTTCTTAATTTTTACACATTGTCCACAAATCACTATTCAAAAATGCATCTTTTCTCTCAAAATGGGGCTCAAACAAGGGATAATTTTTTTTTTAAAAAAATTCATCTTCCCCTATTTGCACGAGTTTTTTCCTTCCACTTGCCTCCCAACTTCTCTCAAGCCCTAATTGCCATTCAATACCTAGGTTTACCATTTTTACCAAATATAATTGCCTTTTCCTACTCAGTTCATGTGCAACAGCACCGACGTCCGACCACATTTTTTCTCCACCTCAACAAAGGCTACTCAGGACCTTCAATCCACAGTTTGAACCATGCAATTGAATTGGAGATTCAGAGGTTGAATGAAAGTCTAATGGTGTATAGTGACAATGTATTTGAAAAAATTAATATCCCTATAATTATACAATGATTTCAAAGTATGAAAAAGTGTAGGCAATGTTTGTAGTGATGTGTTGAATTCTTTTCATTAATGTTATGTTGCTTGGGAAAAAATAAAAATTGTAACTTAATTTCTGACACCAAAATGAAGAAGAACGTCTTTCTCCACCACTATTTGGGGGGGCGGGGGTTGGGGGAATGGATTGAAATGTTTAGAGCTTGTTTGTGATAAATTAAAATCCAATTAAAATTGAAAATATAGCTGTGATTGAGTCGTACTCTACCAATAAAAGTCACAATAAAAGTCAACAATAAGACTAATTTTTCAATTTTAATCCAATTTTAATCTATAACAAACACACTCTTAATAAGATATTGACATATAACCACCCAATACTTCACTTTCGCTTCGAAACATAATTTTGCCACAATCATTAGTTTAAATTACATGAACCCACTAATTCTGGAGTAAAATCGTTTATAATCATTTCCTACAAATAATATATGAACATCAATCAAAACAGTTATAACATTTCAAGTAACATTACCGATTTCATCGCCGTCAAGTTCGTTACCATTACTAGTCTCCATCTCTAAACGAGGACGTTTCGCCTCCGACTCATCGTCACCTCCATTTTCCACCTCCAAAGTGCCAAGCTCCGACTTAGCATTCGAGTCCGACTCAGTGAGTGGCTCGGGCGTGATATTGAGCTCCAACTCCTCGTGTTTTCTCTTATTATAATCGGGTGTGGCCATGGGGCTAGCCGACAATGACGTCACAACCTCCTCCGCCATAATTTTCAAGATCCGACGAGTTCGCACTCAACAAACAAATTTTGGCTATGGTTTTCAGATTCCAGCTGCTATAATCTTCACCAGTGCGAATCGGGGATTTTCGTTCTTCGTGATTACGGTTCGGATTTTATGTTGATTTTGTTACACAAAAATAACGAAAAATTGCTTACGAATTTGCTTGAGGTGTATATATATATGTATATGGATATTTTTGGCTAGGGCATCGAATGTCTAAATGTATTTTTGGGCTGGACGTGGCCCATTAATTTCCTAGGAATGGGATGGGTTTTATATGTTGCAAAATTGACACAAATAACACTAAACGGGTTAAAATGATTTTTGTAGTTATCATTTTTACAATTAGTAAGGGTACAATTAGTGGAGATAGTAGAAACTTTATATAGGAAAAATGAAAGGCGAATAGAAGAGATGCGTTCTTACATAGATCAAAAGTTTGATTGTGTTGCATTTTTGTGTACACAAATTGACAAGAGCAGTGGATTAAGAATTCTAACCCCTCAACACCTTACATATATCACTCTTCTCCTTGTGGTGGATTTATGAATACTTGAGAGGAATGTGTTGATGTGAACGACGATCCAATTCCTGTAGATGTGGAAAATGATGAGAATGAAGATGGCAATGAGCAAAGACAAGTATGTGATGACTTGTTGGTAAATGAACACCTGAAAATAGATGATAATGAACCAAAACAAGCAGTTGATGTGAATGAGGATCCAATTCCCATAGAAGTGAAAAATGAGCAAGGACAAGTAACAGACACGTTGAATGATGAGCAAACTCATGTAGAGTCCGTCCCCGTAGTGGTAGAAGATGAGTCTAATGACTCAAGTCAGAATGGACTCGGGAGAAGAATTAAGAAAAAGTCACTCGTTCTTCGATCTCCTTTTATAAAATCCAGCAAAGAAAAGGAAGCTTGACAATGTCAACGCATTTGACCCATTCCGATTGCTTGATCTGGCTAAGGCAAATCACTTAGATAATTGGTTGGTTAATGCACCTGACATGTAACTATTCTTAGTGTAATTATTTTTGTAAAGTTACAACATATATGTTCTTATGTTATATATTTCATGCAGTGAACATGTGGAAATGATATTGTTCATGAAGCCAAAACTTTTTTTTTTAAGATATTCAAAAGCAACATGGATGGCTCAGTTGTGATGTAATCTTTTTAACAATCTATATTTTGCTCATACTTCATTTCATTCTTAATAGTTGTATACATTTGCAGTACATTAACATTGCATCTATATTTTGATCCTACTTCATTTCATTCTTAATAATTATATACATTTGCAGCACATTAACATAGTATTGTACTTGATGAGGGCACATATCCTACTGTGTTCTCACAAGATTGTGCAATTTTGAGTTGTATACGAAAGAAAAAAAGCCAGTACATGACTCAAATGGTTGAAAAATATGTCAAGATATATGGTAAAAGTCCAGAGAGGAGTAAGAGATGGGATTTTTGTACATCGTTGTATATTCCTTGCAATGTGGAAATGAAGCACTAGATTGCTCTTCATGTGAACATTGCCGAGCAAAATATATACGTATACGACAGCATGAAGAGTAGTACACGTTTTGGAAAATTGTAAAAAGTCATGCATCCAATTGTGAAGGTGATTCCTAGAATAATGAAGGAAAGTTTGTTGTTTGGGGAGGATTATCCAAAAAAAACAATTTCACTGGCGTCGTCATGCAGATGTTCCACAACAAAACAATGCGTAAGTTATCCATATTTACCCTTCTTTATATTTTCATTGCTCTGATACTACATATATTATATTTATTATTGCAAATATCTTTGTAGAAGAGATCGCGGAATACACATTATCAAGTTTATAGAACTTTTGTCGGCCTGATTAGACGTGAAACTTATATATGATGATATGATTGACTGTTGGAGGAAGAAACTAGCTGCTGAAGTTTTTACTATGCATTTCGATCCATAATTGTTTTCTTTATATATTTTTCAATTTCATGTGGTCGAAAGACATATGACTTAGATGTTAATTTTGTCTAGATGGTAGTGTTTTGTATGATGTAGTTGGAAAACAAGTGCATGGATGCTGATTTTGTGTAGTTAGTGCTATTTCATGCAGTCGGAGGACTTATGACTTAGATGCTAATTTTATTTAAATGGTAGCATTTTGTATGATTTAGTTGGAAAACAGGTGTATGGATTCTGATTTTGTCTAGTTGGTGTTGGTTTTTATGATTGATTGCTATGTCGTCCATTGTATAAATGTTTTATTCAAACATGGAACAGTCGGGATGAAAATGAGTTACAGTTTTCATGACAGCATGTATATTTATGCGATGAAATAATAGATTGTATTATTAACTAAGCAAATTAACCCAGTCGTAAAAAGGTAGTCATACGTTTAAAACGAAAACATGCCTTTTGGGGTCACAAGGTCTTGATTTCACATCGACACAAGTCTTGGAATATCATAGATGACTTGTCGGGGCTGAATGAATGAAAGTGATGCGGACTGAACAATGAATGAGGAAAAATGGCAGTTATACGATTAAAACATCCATGCGCCATTTTAGGTGATGTGATGTCAATGGGAGACGTGCTCTGTTCTCTATATCCAAAAAAACAATAAGCTAAATGAGTAGAATTGAACACTGAATGAGGAGAAACATCAGTTATACGGTTAAAATGATCAGATGCCATTTGGAACATCGTGCATGTCTCACTACCATTGAACATACTACACGTGCTATGTTTTGGATACCATACTTGCATCTTACGTTTTTCTTTTGTTGCCAAGTGTAGGGTAGTTTCGAACCGGATTATGGAGTCAACAAATGTGTAGACCGCAACGTCGAAATGTGATTAAAACCTTCATCCCTGAACTTTTACATGGTTACGAGCGCGAATGAACCGAAACAAACACTGAATGAGAGGAAATGTTAACTATACGTTTAAAACGACCGGATGCCATTTTCGGTCATGGGGTATTGATTTCATTTCGAACCAAGTAAAACAGTGTTCAGAACATCGTGCACGACTCACTACCATTGAACGTACACGTGCTATGTTTTTCATACCTTACTTGCTACTTACGTTTTTCTTTGTTGCCAAGTATAGAGTAGTTTTCAACCGGATCATGGAGTCAGCAAATGTGTAGACCATAACGTCGGAATGTACTTAAAACCTTCATCCCTGAACTTTTACATGGTTACGAGCTACTTTCGAGGTAAAACATTTCAGATGGTCTTTTTACATAATGTTAAAGAAAATAGGCCTCTTAGCACTTTATCTATTTAACATGTCATTGTCAAACAAATTCCTCAAATTCAGTTCTTCATATATTTTTAAATTTTGAAACATTTGCAATTAGATTTTAACTAACGTTCATCCCTTCCTCTTTTCCTATGTTTTTTCTATTTCTAATCAACATAATCCTATTGTGACATCCCGAAATTTTCTAGAAATTTTAGGGACTTAATTGAATTGATAGTGTAAATTATGTATGAATTATAATTAAAATAATATTATGGGTATTGGAAGTGCAATTTTATTAAAAATAAAATAATTGCAAATCTCCCCAAGGACCAAATGTGCAATTTCATTAACAAATAAAATTTTAACATCTTTCTCATGGGGGCTAAAAGTGCACATGTATAATATCATCAACAAATAGAAACTTGACATTTTTATCCTAGGAGTTAAAAATGTAAATTTGTAAATTGCTCAATCAACCCCTAGTAATCACTATAAATATGGAAGGGTTTGGGGGAAGTGAGACATGTCTACTTCTCTTTCCTTTTTAAGGTATGTTTTAACTTTTCCTTCTTTCTTTGTTTAATTTAATTAGTTAGTTAATTATTTAGTTATTTGTTTATTTAATTAGTTAATAATATAATTAGCTAATTGGTTGGTACATTCCAATTTCTTGTTTTTATAAGTTAATTAGTTAGTTAATGGTTTAGTTAATCACTTATTTAATTAGATACTAATTTAATTAATTGTTCGGTTATTTTCGGCACTTGAAGTTTTGAATGATGGAGTTAATTATTTAGTTAATTACTTATTTATTTAGATAGTAATTTAACTAATTATTTGATTTAAGTGCTTAATTGATTTATGAGTGGAAAATCAAAATTATTGTTTTAGGGTTCCTTGATAATTGAAGGAAGATAAAATTGGAATTAAATTTAATTAATTAAATCAAGGATTGTGTGAAAGAGATTTGAAAAAAAAA